AAGTGTCTTTTAATTTCATGGCTGTAGTATCTATTCACAATGATTTTGGAGCCCAGGAAAATAAAAAGTCTATCCTGTTTACATTGTTTCTCCATCTATTTGTCATGAAGTGATGGGACTTGATGCCATGATCTTAGTTTTTAAATGTTGAGTTTTAAACCAACTTTTTTGTTGTACTTTTTCATCTTCATCAAGAAGCTCTTTGGTTCCTCTTTGCTTTCTGCCACTAGGGTGGTGCCATCTGCATATCTGAGGTTGTTGAAATTTTTCCTGGCAATCTTGATTCCAGCTTGTGCTTCATCTAGCCCGGCATTTCTCATGATGTACTCTGCATATAAGCTAAATAAGCAGGGTGAAACTATACAGCCTTGAGGTACTCCTTTCCAAATTTTGAACCAGTCCATTTTTCCATGCCTGGCTCTAACTGTTGCTTCTTGACCTGCATACAGGTTTCTTAGGAGGCAGATAAACTGGTATGGTTTTCCATCTCTTTAAGGATTTTTCAGTTTGTTGTGATCCACATAGTCAAAGGCTATAGCATAGTCTATGAAGCAGAAGTAGATGTTTTTTTTCTTGAATTTCCTTCTTTTTCTATGAGCCAACTGATGTTGGCAATGTTATCACTGGTCCCTCTGCCTTTTCTGTCTTACTTGTACATATGGAAGTTCTCAGTTCACATATTGTTGAAATATCACTTTAAGAATTTTGAGCATTACCTTGCTAGAATGTGGAATGAATGCAATTGTGTAGTAGTTTAAACATTCTTTGGCATTGCCTTTCTTTGGGATTGGAATAAAAACTGACCTTTTCCAGTCTTGTGGCCACTGCTGAGTTCTCCCAATTTGCTGGCATATTTAGTTCAGCACTTTAACGGCATCAACTTTCAGGATTTGACACAGCTTAGCAGGAATTCCATCACCACCACTAACTTTGTTCATAATAATGTTTCCTAAGGCCCTCTTGACTTCACTTTCCAGGATGTTTGGCTCTAGGTGAGTGACCACACCATTGTGGTTATCTGGGTCATTAAAATTTTTCTGTATAGTTCTTCTATATATTCTTGCAACTTATTCTTAGTATCTTCTGTTTTTGTTAGGTCCTCGCTTGCTTGCATTTCTTTTTCTTGGGGATGGTTTTGTTCACCACCTCCTGTACAATGTTATGGACCTCTGTCCACAGTTCTTCAAGTACTCTGTCTATAAGATCTAATCCTTTGAATCTGTTTGTCACATGCACTGTATAATCATAAGGGATTTCATTTAGGTCATACCAGAATGGCCTAGTGGTTTTTCTTACTTTCTTCTATTTAAGCCTGAATTTTGCAATAGAGAGCTCATGATCTGTGTGACAGGTAGCACCTGGTCTTGTCTTTGCTGTCTATATAGATCTTCTCCATCTTCAGCTGCAAAGAATATAATCAATCTGATTTCGATACTGACCATCTGATGTCCATGTGCAGAGTCATCTCTTGTGTTGTTGGAAGAGGGTGTTTGCTATGACCAGTGTGTTCTTTTGGTAAAACTCTGTTAGCCTTTGCCCTGCTTCATTGTGTACTGTAAGACCAAACTTGCCTGTTACTCCAGGTATCTCTTGACTTCCTACTTTTGCATTCTAGTCCCCTGTGATGAAAGGACTTTTTTTTTTTTTTTTTTTTTTTTTTGGTGTTAGTTCTTGAAAGTCTTATAGGTCTTCATAGAACCATTCCACTTCAACTTCTTTGACATTAGTTGCTGGGGCATAGATTTGGATTACTGTGATGTTGAATGGTTTGCCTTGGCAATGAACCAAGGTCATTCTGTCATTTTTGAGCTTGCACCCAAGTACTGCATTTTGGACTCTTTTGCTGACTATGAGGACTATTCCATTTCTTTTAAGGGATTGTTGTCCACAGTAGGATATATAATGGTCATCCAAATTTAATTTGCCCATTCCTGTCCATTTTATTTCAAGAATTCCTAAAATGTCAATGTTAACTGTTTGACCACTTCCATGTTATTACCTTAATCCATGGTCCTAATATTCCAGGTTCCTATGCAATATTGTGTTTTACAGCATTGGACTTTACTTTCACCACCAGATACATCCACAACTAGTGTTGTTTCTGTTGGCTCAGCCTCTTTATTTTTCCTGGAGCTGGTTTTTCAGATCTTCCCCAGTAGTGTATTGGACACCTATAGACCTGGGGGTTCATCTTTCAGTGTGATATCTTTTTGACTTTTCTTACTGTTCATGGGGTTCTCAAGGCAATAATACTGAAGCAGTTTGCCATTCCCTTCTCCAGTGAATCACATTTTTTCAGAATTCTCCACCATGACCCATCTGTTTTGGGTAGCCCTACATGGCATAGGTCATAGTTTCATTGAGTTATAGAAGGTTGTGATCATTGTGATCATTTTGGTTAGCTTTCTGTGATTGTGGTTTTCATTCTGTCTGCCCTCTGATGATTAAGAATAAGAGGCTTGTGCAAGCTTTCTAATGAGATGGACTCCTGTGGGGAAAACTGTCTTGCTTTGGTGGGCAGGGCCAAGTTCAACAAATCTTTAACCCAATTTTCTGCTAATGGAAAGGGCTATGCTCACTCCCTGTAGTTTGTCCTGAGGCAGCCCAGTCCTAGAGTCTGTAGTCTTTATGGTAAGGTATTGTCTCTATGATAGGCCTAATGGCAACTTCCTCCAAGATGACCTATGCCGACACGCTGCACATCCCAGGGCCACTGCTGCCAGTGACGCTGACCCTTCTTTTCCTATGTAAAGGTGCTTTCCACTACATTTTAGGAAATCACAAGGATCAACCTCAATTTCCATGTCCATTTGATGAGAATGCCCTATGGAGTTTTCTACATACTTTAGTTGAGTATATGCATACATAGAAATCTCCAAATGACATTCTCAACCAATGGACATGGAAATTGAGATTGATCCTTGTGATTTCCTAAAATGTAGTGGAAAACACTCTTACATAGGAAGAATCCTGCTAGAATTTAATCAATCTAATTCTTTATACATTAATGTCCAGTGAGCAGTAACTACTGAAGAAAATGAATAGAAGAGCAGAGAATATCCAAAATGAGAAAACATAATATAGAACCCTGGGAAGATAGGTAAATCGTTCATTGGAAGATATCTCTCAAAAAAATTGACTTAGTATCTTCAGTGATAAAAAGATAATACTACATTTTTAAAGAAACAGGGACTACTAGAGGAAAGGAGACAATAAAGGGACAATAGAACATTTTTAGAAATCACAAATATGTGACTTTAGAAGGAAAAAATCAACAGCTTAAAAAAAACAAATAAACAAATTTAATAAAATCCAAAAATCTGCCAGAACTAAAAAAGGGAAAAATATTTACTTAGCAACACTGCAATCATAGTGGTGAATGTCGTGTCTTCAAAATTTTAAAGAAAGTTATTTTTAACTAGCATTATATATTCAGTCTAAATAACAAATAACTATGAAGACAAAAGAGACATTTTTGTGTAGAATATTCAAGAATGGTTTTTTCTGTGCATTTAGCTACTGAAATAATAATTGAGGATATACCTTAAAAATAGTAAGGAGGACTCCAAGAAAGAAGAACAATGATATAAGAAGAGAAGGGCAATAAAGATAAGATGTGCAGTAAGCTTAGATTATAACTAATAAAATACCAAGTGAAATTGTGCTTATTTTAACAAATTATATTTTTAAGAGCTGAGTGAACTTAGTGATAAACTAAAGGCATATCATTTTCTTTTAAGTAGGAAAAAATAACAAGACACAGTAACTTTGGGAAAACCTGAGAGCTATTTGAGTAATTGATTATAATTCTGAAAAAAAATTGCATAATTTATAACAGTACACATCCATGGTAGAGCTAACAGAAGTTGCCAAGTGAACAGGAAAGTGAAGGGTAGTAGAGATTGCAGAACCACTAATTGTCTCATCTTTTATAGTGGGGAGAGATGAACTTTCTAAAGTTAATGGATCATTAAAGAGAAGTCAAATAATCACTTAATATACCTTAAAGACAGAGGGAGATCTAAGCATAATGCTACAACTAGCCAGATTGATGGATTGAGGAGTGGAGGAAAAGGAATCAATAATATAGATTATTTTATTTGGGAAGAAACAGTTGAAGATATTTACCTCCAGAGAATAACAACTAGGGAAGGAATCAGAATTTTGGACCTTTCTGTTTGATTTGGAAGTATAATTATTTTTTTAATCTTACTATAAAAGTCAGAGTTTTGTCATGAAGCAAAGGCACACAGAAGCTGACTGATCATTGAAGCATTTAATAAAGACACCATTTATAATAATTTTTGTTGCTTCACTCCTACCAACAGTAGAAATATTTCACCCTGGCTAAGTAACAGTAGTGAGCCATTACTGTTGATGTTGATTGGTCTCTAAGTCTGTGTCCAACTGTTTTAAGACCCCATGGACTGTAGCCCAGCCTGCCAGACTTCTCTGTCTGTGGGATCTCCCAGACAAGAATAATGGAGTATTCTTGGGATACTGGAGTGTACCAGGGATCGAACCCATGTCTCCTGCACTGGCAGGCCGATTCTTTACCACTGAGCCACATGGAAAGCCCCAGGAAGCCATTACTCCTAAATCTAAAGGAGAACGAGAGATAGAGGTCATCAAATGGGGAAGATTAGCTGGCTAGAACGGCATGACAGAAGGGTAGCCTGTGGAAGAGAAGTGCAGCCAATCCATAATGATTTCAAAAGGGGAAAAACACCAAGGAAATGAATACCCTAACAACTCCTTTCACCTTTTACTCTTAATATCTTGTAGGTTCCTCCCATTGACTAACCTGTCAGAAGTCAGGGGTCAAGGGAGCCCGTCAAGTCCGTGGAGATATAAACTGGGAGCAAAATAGAATAAGATGTAAAAGGATGGAAATATGCCTAGAGGGAAAAAAGAAGGTATCCAGTACATTTACATCAATAAAATGTGTACAGTGCCATTATAATGTGCCATATTTGGACCAAAAATAAGCACTTTTGGAAATGTCCCATGTATCATCGTCAACCCCTGGTGATGTTTTATGCTGGCTGTTTCTTAATTATCTGGTAACTTGAGGATATGTGTGAAAGTACTATTTTTTTTTTTTTTAAAGATATTCAGGAAATACTTACAGAGCAATGAGCAAGTAGTACTTGGACAACAAGGCGAATGGTAAAGGGTGTGTTATTTTAAGCCCAGAAGCTTAATCCTGTGGGGAAACTGAGAAATGCCTAAAACATAGACATTAAAATCTCTGCAAGGATGAGGGAGACAGGATATTTAGCTCCCTGAGAGACACTGGCGTATGATCTACTGGTGAAGACAAAGGGGGTATTTCTGAGATGTAGGAAAAAAAAACAAAAAACAAAAAACCTCTCCAGGCATCAAGATAAAGACCCTGGCCATTGGGAGTTGGCCAGATCACATGAAGTTTGAAGACTGGGGGTAGGACACTGCTGGTGTCTGTTGCTTCTGGCTGACATGCCACAAGTACACAATCATTAGTTAGAGTTGAACATGTACTGCTTGAGATTTAAAATTAGCTTTAGAGAATATGGGTATTGAATAAATTCTTAAAAGTCCTAACTAATTGTAGTGACAGCAAGCATCATAATGTCTATTATTATTTCAGGCAATTAGAAAAAAAATGTTTTGCAATTATTTGATTCATGTTTCTCTTTAATGTTTTGGACAGTTTCTAATTTAAAATAAACACATTCAGATGCATCATTTTCTGTATTTTGACACATTGGACTTAAACAATCTGTTTACCAATGTGCCTGGAAGAAACTGGTGTTATGAAAACCTAAGAACAAAAGTTTCCTTAAAATCTCCATGCATCAATCTGAATTGATGAAAACACACCCTTGATTAGGAATTGTTGGCTCTGTTGTATTTTCATGTGTTTGTTTGTTGTAAATGCAGGCACATGAATGCCTATTCCCATAAAATTGTACACTTGATTATTACACTGTACCAAGGCTTCTCCACGCTCAGCACAAACCCAGATAGGGCTCATGGGCATCCTTGCCAATTATACCCTCACCTCCGTGTGGATAAACGTATGACTTGTTTCATCATGTCATCATAAGACTAGAGTTTGTTTAATTCTTCCTTTGCATGTTTAAATGTTTCTGTTTAGGCTTTTAAATTATTGTAGTAAGTTTGATTTCTTCTTTTGATAATGCTGTGTTTTAAAAAGGCACAAATGAGTTGAAAATCATACTGTTATTCAAACACTCGATAAATATGTATGGAGTGCAAATTATGTAGAAGCAACTGGTCTAGTGCTTGGGATACACTGATGAACAAAAAGGGTGAAGATCTCTGACTTGCTGCTTACATTTAAGCAGTGAGAATAAACCAACAAATCATAAATACATATAATACGTTAGAAGGTACTATAGAAAAATGAGAAAGGAGAACAAAGTAAGCGAGTTTGGAAATGCTGGCATCAGAGAACAGAGTAGTATTAAGAGATCAAAGTCGGCCTTATAGAAAAGGGAAAAATTGTGCAAAGACATTAAGAAAGTGAGGAAGTTAGGCTTGTGGTCATATGAGGGAAAATCATTTTAGGCAGAGGTAGTAAATAGTGCAAAGATTGAAGACAGGCATAAATTTTTAAAAATATAAATTCTCTAGTTGAAAGGATCATTCCAGTTCTGTTTAAGAAAAGACTATGAGAGTCAAGGGCAGAAGCATGTGAGCTAGTTAAAAAGTGATTGAAATAATCTAAAAAGATGCTGAGAACTTCAATTAATTTAAAATAAATGTTGATTTCTAGGGGAAAAAAATAAGGATAATTTTTCATGAGTCAGTTCAGTTAATTAGTCCTATATAAACTTAGCATAATAGCATCAGCTAATGTTGATCTCATTCATTGACTGGGTTTATAAAGTGGAATCAAAGAATTGAATGCCTCATCCAGCACCCAAGATAGAAAATAAATAAATAAAATCCAAGATAGAAAAGTGTGATGGTGGCTGTTTTTCATCAGGATATGGTAGTAAGAATTGCCTAATTAGTAACTTAGAGTGGATTTTGCAAAATAATGAGTTTCATTTTGAAACAAAGTAATTAAGTATACAATATGGGTCTATTCTTATTTCTGAAACTGAGAAACGGACTCTGCAATCATGCATAGATATCTTTCCAGCACTTTTCTGAGAATTTTTTTTCTTCTTTTTGAGTTTTCTTTTTGTCACTGCTTTGATTGTCCAGCTTGCTAGTGTCAGTTGAGGGAAGGAAAAACAAGCTCTCAATTACTAAGAAGTATATTTTGGCTTCGTAAGAATTCTTCCTCAGTGGGAAGGCACCTTGTATCTTCAACAGAAAATAAATTTAGTTTATCAGCTTCCATGGGCTATTTATATTAAAAAATTACTAAGTATTCACAAAGAAATTGTCGGTTCTTAAAAGAAAAAAATATAAAATATGTCCTGCTCTGTGACCCAAATCCAATTAACTTTAAATGTAAAGACAAAATCTTTATCTCAATGAAAAGCCTCCCAAATAATTCTTAAATAAAATCTTAAATCATCTCAGTGATTTCAGAATATTTAGAAAATGATAGCAATACTTAAAATCATTATAAAAGCTTAAACACTGTGACTAAGCTGTACATAGAGAAAAATTTATTAGGATAAGAGTTTTCCCACTAAAAGATAATGAATATAAATGAATTTAAGATTGTTCAAGAGATCATATTAAAAGATAAAACAAAACCTGTATAAAATAAGAGGAAGAAAAGAAAAAAGAATGAGAAATTAGTCTTACAAATAAATTAATTAAAAATATAAAACTAAGTACTCAAACAAAATTTTAACAGACAAATGAAGCACATATGCCACTAATTATTCTATCTAAAAAATTGCATGTGGATGGAATAAAAATACACAAAATTAGAAAATCAGAAAATTATGTGTGAAAAGAATTATAATAATAACTATTGATAAATTAGAATAAATACAGAAATTGTGTTTTATAATTAGACTAACATTTTTCAAAATCTGAATTACATGGAATATTTTCTAGCAGTATAGAGAAAACTTTTTGATAAAAATCCTGAAATAGCAATAAGTATGAAAATAATTAAGAAAGTTGCCAAATAACTCATTTCCTCCTCCACAAAGGATAGGCCATCATAATTTCATGTGGAAAGTTGTTCATATTCCATTTAAAATAAACACAGATATACAGAAAGAAAAATTTTCTCAATTTATTTTACACCAGTTAGCATAACACTTAAGTCTAAGCCTAGCATAATAATAAACCAACATCAATATCATCTGTGCCTATAGTTGGATAAACCATTAACATAAAATAGTTAGGATTAATCCTAACTGATGAGCCCTACCACAGTACTTCACTGAAAACTCAACGTTTTATTGAGGGAAATAAAATAGGAATTGTGCTAATGAAGAGATAAATAGTACATTCCTGTGGGAGTGCCCACTATAAAAATGGTGTTGGGTTTTCTTATATTTTACTATAAACACAATCGGGGACTTTATCCCAAATAATTATGAAATATTTATAAGTACAAATGCATAAGAACTGTCAGAAAATATTTGAAGTAAAAAATAATAGACAGTAAACACTAGTTTTCCAAGGTATCAAAATATGCTTTGAAGCCACAATAAATGTATAGGAAGGAATGCTGTTGGTGCTAAAGTAAACAGGTGGATCAGTGAATCAGAAGTGAAAATAAAAATAAAGAAAACCAAATTTATATTTATGTAAACTTTGCTGCATAAAGTAAATGGCATTTAAAATTAGGGGTTAAAAAAGGAGTTACTCAATAAATAGTGAGAAGATTTTTGGCTTGGTATTTTTGGGGAGAAAGCACAATTGATCCTGATTATTTATATTTCCTTGAATATGTTTGAGTTTAATATAGATTTAAACATGAAGTAAAAATATAAATATATTAAAATATTTAGATGAATAACTAAAAATATTTAGATTCTAATCCATAAAGAGGGAGATTAATAGACTTTCATTATTAAAATTTTTACATGGAGAATATATATAATTTACAAGGTAAAAATAAGACATATCACAATCTTGTAAAAAAATTATGCTTTATGTTTCATAATCAGCTAATTCATATTTTATTTCAATATTTGCAATACTTTCTCTCCCATGTCTCCCATATACTTGGAGAAAAATTCCCTAAGCAGTACACTGTGGAGACTTGATGTCTCATGATGAATTTATAGATTGCCTGAGATCAACCAATTTGAACACTGGGCAGGGTATGGAGTATCTGAATGCAATGGGCCTCGTATTTTACCGCACTGTGCCATGAGTATTGTGATCTCTTTGTGTGGCATGATGTGAAAAAGGTTACAGAAAACTGAAAATTGTAGGATTGGATAAAACTCTAAACACAGCCTGGGGTGTGTAGATCTAAGAAACACATGATCTCAAACTGAAGAAGACACAAACAGAAAGATACCTCATGTCTATGAATTGGGAGAATTAATATTGTTAAAATATTCATACTAGCTAAAATGACCTACAAATCAATGCAATTTCTATCAAGATTCCAATAGTGGAGGTTCAGATCAAGATAGTTGGTGTAGAAAGATCCAGAACCCACCTTCTCCCATGGACATTTTAAGCTACATCTACATATAAAGTAATTTATTCTAAAGAAAAACTGAGTGTTGACTGAACGTCTTCTATGCAAAAAACCATGGAGGGACCACGTAGAGATAAAGATGGATAGCGATGGAGACACAAACTTGATGGTAACACCGTGCCTGTCACAGCAACCTGCAGTATGAAGCGATATCACTGAGAGACTTTCATACAGACTCATCTGCCTTGAGGTACAGCAAAAACTCAGCAGTTTACAGAGCACCTAGTCTATATGTTAAGGAAATCCATTTACTAAAGCTAGATGCATTGCACTAAAGCTGGGTGCATTGCAGAATAGTATTTTTTTTTAGTGCATTCCTTCACCTTGAAAGCAGAGTCAGGAACACCATCCAGGCACTCTACCAGCCTGACAGGCTGCCCCAGACACCCCAGGCTAATATTATACTCTAGCTATAGCCAT